CCATAAATGCTAGAGAGTCGGAGGGAGGGAGGGAGAAAGAGAGGGGAGGAATGAGAAAGTATCCATAGCGCCCAGCCGGTGTGGCTCAGTGAGTGAGCATTGAGGTCACGGGTTCCATTCCCGGTCAGGGCACATGCCCAGGTTGTGGGCTCAATCCCCAGTAAGGGGCATGCAGGAGGCAGCTGATCAATGATCAATGATGTTTCTCCTCATCGATGTTTCTATCCCTCTGCCTTCCTTTGTCTCTCTAGAAATCAATAAAAACTTATTTTTTAAAAGAGCCCATAGCCGCGGGGGGGAAAAGGAAGAAAAAAAAAAAAGGACACTTATGTAATACCCTTTGTAATACTTTAAGCGAAAAATAAAAAAAATATAAAAAAAAAAGAGCCCATAGCCTCTTCCTCCAAATCTTGCGCTTCTCTGCCGGATCTTCTCATCCTCTAGCCTCTTCCCCTCATGCTGTAGGTCAGGCTAGTTTCTCTTGGTGAGACTTCAATAAAACTGAGTCACTGTCCTCTAGAAATTTGGACAATATTTTGTCCGGCCTCCGCCCTTGCCGAGTCTTCCCACCCGGGCAGACCCCTGGTCTCTGATTCTTTTAGAAATATGTCCTACCATCCTTGAACCTCCCTTTACCCTCTGAGACCATCACGCATACCAGTAAAACCTTATGAATGCAAAGGGACCAAGGTGCTCACCCCCAAGAAAGTGACTCTTCAGTTCATGGCTCAGGTATGACTGCTGTGTTACAACCAGCCCAAACCGTCATAGCTTGAAACAGTGACTGCCCATATATAGGGTGTCCCCCAAAAATGTGCGCACACTTTGAATAGTTAGAAAGGCAGTGTTTATTAAAATACGTTTCGTTTTCATTTCATCCTATTTGCTCACAACGCTCTACACTTGGGCAAAGACAGCTTCTCCCTACTTTGTGTGCTGTTGGCTAACATGGCTCACCTGGGTTCGGAGAATCCAAAATGATCTCATTCACGTGTCTGGCGCCTTCGCTTGGGCTGGTGGGAAGAGCTGGGAGTCATTTCTGCCTGAGCCTCTCTCGTTCTCTCTAACCTGGTCTCTCTGCAGCAGGGTAGTAGGGCTTCCTTATAGCATGGCGGCTGCCTTCCAAGAGGGCAACAGTGAAAATGGCAATGTCCCTTAAGGCCTAGGCCTAACAGCCCCGGAAACTCTTCTGCCACATTTTCTTAGACAAAGCAAGTCACAGGCCAGCCCAGATTCCAAGGAGGAAAAGTAGACCCTATTGGCTAGGAGGAGCAGCGTGTAGGCACCGGGGTGGGGAGAACTGTTCGCAGCCATATCTGCACACAGGCCACCACAATGGTCCTAACACCCGAAAACGGATCCAGAGTCACCCAGGTCTGCATGGATCCATCCAACCTGCCTCCTTGCAGGAGGGAAGAGAAAAGTCTGGCAGGTTCTTTGGAGAAGCAAGTACCCCAAAGGCCTTTGGGGCTATGACCAGGGTAGGTCACTCTTTAGGAAAAAGGGAAAGGGACTCCGGGTGGGCGGAGCGGGAATGAAGAGGAGCACTGTGGGTCGCCAAGGACAATAGCGGTCAGACCAGGGGGCAGGATGTGAGTCCCACAGCGGGAGAGATGAGCTGGGACCGCTTGGCAGACCTAGTGACAGAGAACAGAGGCGCTGGGCCTTGCCTGGGTCTTCTCTGGGCCCTCGCGGTCCTCTGGGAAGGCTGCAGGGGTGCAGGAGCGGGTCTTAGACAATTGGGGAGAGCGCCATGTCCGATTTCTCCTTCTTTTCTCCATAATCTATTTAAAGACTATTTCTTCCGAGGCCGCATGTTGCAATCTCTTTCGTACTAAGGTTTCGGATTTTCCACTGACGAGCCCCAACCCCTGGAGACGTCTCTTGCCTCCTCTTGCCTTGCCTTACCACACGGAGGAAGTCTGGATTTCAGCTCTGGGTTTGGCCTCCACCGCATCCTCCCCCTGTTCCACTTTTCTTCTGCCTGTTTGTATTGAGTCTAGACTTTCCTTTTTATTTGTTGATGCCCTGCCCTAGCCTGGGGCAGCTGTGGTGTGGTGGGAAGAGCACTGGAATGGGAGTCCGGAAAGCTGGTTTAGATTCTGGCTTAGCCATTTCCTGGCTGTGCCTAAATGTCCAGGCAAGTTATTTACCCCCTCTGAGCCTCCTGCTTCTCCTCCACCACTCGAAGTAATGAGCCCCCTCTCCAGGGTTGCTGAAACGAGGAGACAGTGCCTGGACTGACGAAGAGGCCTTTGTTCCTGGTACCTACCACCGAGTCCCCTTCCCCCCAAGCCCGCTCAAATCCCCACCTTTCTGAAAGCCCGGAATCTCTCCTGTCACATCCCCTCCACCATCCATTCTCTCCAGTGCCAGCCCTCATCCACCTCCACAGTCTTGGGGCGAAACCCTCCGTTACCAGGTCTCAGTTTAACAAATGTTTATTGAGCATGTACTATGTTCCAGGCACTGTTCTGGGAGCTGGACACACAGCGATGAACAAAACAGACAAAAATCTCTGCCCTCCTGTTGCTGGCACCCTAGTCGGGGAGAGCGGAGGGTGGAGAGGCGGCGAAGACAGACCAAGTGGGGAGTAAATCTTGGAGCTACACTATCCAAAATGGTAGTCACTGGCCACCTGTGTAGATTGAGCATTAGAAATGGGGCAACTCCCAATGAGACGTGGGTAAGAATAACATGCACAATGATTCAAAGATTTAACTTTAAAAGTATTCAGTCTCTCATTGGTTTTTATACTGACTAGGTGGTGGAATGATACTTTAGATATGTTGGGGTTACATAAAATTTATTATCCCACTCAGTTCTACCTGTTTCCTTTTACCTTTTACAATCTGGCTCCCCGCCCTAACCGGTTTGGCTCAGTGGATAGAGCGTCGGCCTGCGGACTGAAGGGTCCCGGGTTCGATTCCGATCAAGGGCATGTACCTTGGTTGCAGGCACATCCCCAGTAGGGAGTGTGCAGGAGGCAGCTGGTCGATGTTTCTCTCTCATCGATGTTTCTAACTCTCTATCCTCTCCCTTCCTCTCTGTAAAAAATCAATAAAATATATTTTTTTAAAAAATTAAAAAAATAAAACCTGGCTCCTAGAAAACCTTGTTACATTCGTTGTGGCTCATGTTATGGTTCTATTGAGCAGCTCTGTTCATTCTAGAATATGTTAGAAGGTTGTATGTGCTACGGGGGGTAAGGGGTGCTCAACAGGAGCATCCGGAGCACATCTGGGAAAGAGTGCTCCAGGCAGCAGGAATGCCAGCGCCAAGGCCCACGGAGGGAGCATGCCTGCCGTCTGAGGCACAGAGAAGCCGGCGCGGCTGGAGCCGAGTGACCGAGGGGGCAGAGTTGGGGAGGCAGAGGCAGCCTGGATGGTGCAGGGCCTTTTAAGGCCATTGTACAGACTTTGGCTTTTTCTGAGTAAAATGGAGTCTTGCAGGGTCTTCAGCCAAAAGGTGATACAACTGGGCTCACACTCTAACAGGTTCGCTCTGGCTGTTGTGTGGCAACTAAAGTGAATCGAGAGGACAGTTTGGGGTTGAGAGGCTCAGGCCAATATGCCCTCGGGATGACCACAGCCCCACAGGGCAGTTATGTGGATTCCGTGGGTGTGAGAGCAGCAGGTGGATAGCACCTGGAAAAGGAGCTCCAGTGCGGGCAGGGACCTTGCCTCCGGCCTCGGTGTAGCCAGGAGGCAGCGGGCACCCTCCCCAGCGGCCGTGGAAGTCACCACACCACCACCATCCGGGCCTCTCCCCGCGCAGGGCTGCAACCCCCGCCTCGCTGCTGGGATGCTCCGTTTAAAGCCCTTCAGCCGCTGCTCAGTGGCTCTGGTGGAGGCAGCGTTGCAGGCTCCCCAAAAGCTAACCCTGCCTGTCTCTCCGGTCTCCACCCCTCACCCACTCCCTGCCCGCGTGCCCCTGCCAAGCCTTTGCTTACACTCTCCCTTCTGCCTGGAATGTCTGCTTCAACCCTTCCATCCTCCCCTCCCTGGTTGGTCTTCTTCTACCACTTCCTTAAGGGGCAGCCTAGAGGTAATGCCATGAGAAGACCCCCAGACTCTGCTACCCCCAATGCATCCCAGCCCCAAACTGGATCAGAGGCGCCCGTCCTATTTTATGTATTTTTCTCTTCGTGGATATAGTTCTGTGAGGGTTGGAATTGTGTCTTGGTCCTAACAGCATCCTTGCCCTAGCCCAATGGTCGGCAAACTGCGGCCCCTTGAGTGTGGCTCTTCCACAAAATACCACGTGCGGGCGCACACATACAGTGCGATTGAAACTTCGTGGCCACACTCAAGGGGCCAGAGTTGCATGTGGCTCTCGAGCCGCAGTTTGCCGACCACTGCCCTAGCCTGATGGCTATCCCAATAAATCCTGTTCAAAGGAATAAAAGAGAGGCTGGAGGAGGCGGGTTTGGAAGGATGCTCATAAATGCCAATGACCCAGACAGCTTCTACTTACCCCAGGAGAGAAGACCACTCAGGGGCAACCAGAGCCGTGGGCCGACCTTTCAGGGGCTCAAGGAACTCCAGGGCTCACTAAGTAAAACTAAAGTACATCTTGGGGTCCAGGTCCCCATGAGCACCCACTTCCCAGCCCCATAGCCAAATCCAGCCCTCCCCTTTCTGCCGAGCAGCAAGCTCAGACCCATGGCCAGTTGCTTCCTTGACCAAGGTCCAGGGCGGGCCGGGACTACGTGGTTCCTAAAGGCATTACTACTTACTTTGGGGCCCTTGGCTCCTGTCTAAGGAGCTGTCTCTCCCTCCCCTGTTCCCAGAGGGCCCCCCGCCCCGCCATATCATGGCAGAGCATGGACAGGGTTCCCCAGGACCAGCCCAGCTACACTGGAAGGACTCAGGCCCCAGCACCTGGGACCCCTTTCCCAGGCCTAAGATAAATGCCATGTTCCCCAAGGGAGGAGGGAAAGGGGGCAGGAGGAATCTGGAACAAAGATTCAATGGAGAAGGAGAAACCAGGAGGAGCTCTGAGATCAGAATTAAATTCTTTAATACAAAATGCTTTTTTTAAGATATATCTGTATTTCTTTGTTGCTGTTTAAAAATAAATATGTACTACGGAATATCTCGAAAAACTGCACTAGGGACAAAGATGTGATGTTAATATCTTTTCCCCCACAATTATTATGGATAAACAGTAGCACCAATAAATAAATGATAACAAATATTAAAATTAAAAAAGGAGAGAGATTTAGTATGTAGAATTCTCTATTTTTTCTTGTTTTGTTTTTACATATAAAAAACAGAATAGCAATGTCTATTTTATCAGAATCACATATATACATAAACATATATATATATATACAAACACGAGTTGCCAAATATATATATAGTATGTAGATGTATATTGAAACCTTATTTCAAAGGAATGTGTGGTGGGGAGCCGGGGGAAAGGGTAGGGCAGAGATGAGTGTTAGCAAAATTAAATATCTGTTCAGGACAAGCTAGTGACTGTCCCCGATCAGGGAAGAGAGACTGGAAACATGAATTTTATACACAAAGACCAGTACAAATAAGAGAGAGAGAGAGCGAGAGAGCGAGAGAGATACATCTCATAAATAGTTCAAATTAAATATTAACCAAGAATACTGAAAAAACCCTACTCTTTAATTAAATTAACTGTTTTAATTTCTAATTAAAAAGAGATATTAAATAAGTACCGTATATAAAACACTTTCTCTTTTCTCTGCCTCCATGGTGGGCACATGGGTGCTGCCCTGTCTCTCTGTGCCTCGGGAAGGGTCGGGTGGGGGACAGAGGGACATCAACCACTCACACACACAGAGCCAGGTCTCCTGGGGGACAGAACTAGTGGTTTCAATGGTCTGAGGACCTCGGGCCCCCTGGGCTGCGCCCAGGAAGGGAGCAGGGAAGTGGCCAAGGCAAGAGGCCCTTCCCACAGACGACGAGCTTCATCAGGCTGCTCTTCTTCCACCAGCGTCCGCTTCTCTTCGCCACGACACCTGGCAGTGGCCTCCTGGGCACCTCAGAGGCAGGTGAGAGTAGGTCAAGGCTGCCCAGGCTCCTGAATCCTTCAGGCAGTGCCCCTGGGGGCAGGATGCCCGTGCAGCACATGGAGGGGCTCCCCAAAGCACAGCCGTGTCCTGAGGCTCCCCAAACTCCCGATCGGAGCCGGCGTCCTCATCCCTGTACCTGTCGTCTGTCTTTCTGTCCATTTGACTCGGGGTAGAGGCTCGGAACCAGGGCTGGGTTTGTCGGTGTTCCCAAAAGCAGGCCAAATGTGCCCCCATGCCCTGGCCTTGCATGCTCCTAGGCAAGGGAGGGGACCCTGGCCCCCCTAAGAGCGACGAGAAGACCATGCCAGAGTCTCTCCGCCCGTCTTCTTCCTTGTTGGGATCCGGGTGGGAACAGTGTCCTCCCAACTCAAGTCCACAGCAGTCAAATACATCCAGTGAAGACACCAATAACATTAGCAATGTTAATTTAAAAAAAAAAGAATATATATATTTTATATATATATAAAATATATATATTTATTTTTATATATATAATATATATATATATAAACATATGTATGTGGGTGGGTGTGTCTACAGGAATCCCAGAAATAAAACTCTCTACCGGGCTCGGTGATTTAGCAGCAAGAAAAATAAAATGGCGATCCAATTCCAAGAGGGACCGTGCTTGGTCACCGGCCCGGGAATGCTTCTGCCGGAGTCTCGCCCTCCGGACCCAAAGTGCTCTGCGCAGTCTCCTCTTCCTTCATTTCAGGTTTCTGGATTAAGGATTGTTCTGTCGATGATGGTGGTGGTGGTGTGGTGGCAGCGGCGTGGTTTCTGTATCAGTCATTCTGTATCCATCTCTCCTGGTGAGAGGTCTGGTTCCCGAAACCCTGAGGGAGGCTCCTTCCTCCAGCCTGGCTCACCGCCTCGGCTTGTCACATCTGCAGAACGGAAAACAGAGGCGGGGTTAGGGCCAGGGGAGGAGCTGGGGGGAGTCCCCGCAGTGGGAGGATGGTGCCGGCATGGTCCTGCCTCGGGGACCCCTGGCGAGGGAGAGGCCAGCCCCTGCCCAAGGGGCCCTGTCCCAGTCACTGTCTGAGCAGTAGCCATGCTCAGGGCTCCCCATCTGCCCTCTCAAGCTTACAATCGAGTTGAGACAAAGCAAGGACATGAGGACACCCCGTCACAAGTAACAAATAAACACATACTAAGAACAGTCCCTGCTGGACGCCTAAGAGCTAATGGGTGACCAGAGCTGGGCCAAGTGAACCAGGAAAAGGGCCCCTGCAGAAGGAGGTGTTTCAGCTCCGTCTCATGGGGCAGGTCTGGGGCAGAGAGTGAAAAGAGCGCCTTGAGCAAGGGGCAGGGGCCCGGTGGGAGACAGCCAGCTGACGGGGGACGCTGCCCCTGAGAACGTGGGGCTCCCAAGGCAGGGGAGCCGGTGGGGTGAGGGGCACAACTCCCTTCCCCACCCCCTCCCTCCCAGCCTCAGCCACAGGCCTCAGTCAGCCCTTCTTGCCCCAGGCCCCAGGCTGCTTTCCTTTCTGATATGCTCTGTAACGTGGGGTGGGGGAGAGGCCACGGGAGGCTGTGCTGTCGCACTGAAGCGGAGGGGACTCCAAGAACTCGCTCCTCATGCCCCCGCCCCTGGGCTGATGGACATCTGCCCGCCCCACTGTGAGGCGATGGAGCAGGCCCTGCCCTTCTGAGAGTCTGAGAATGGGGATCCTAAGCCTGTAGCTGGGGCACTGAATCCCCCACAGCCAAGTCAGGGGCTGGGGAAGGTCCTTCAGTTAGCTCCTAGGTCACTGCACACATCCCCACCCCAGACAGTCTCTCTGCAGAATAATCTCTATGGAAGCCCCACAATGGCAAGTCCCGGATCTCCCCCAGGCTCCCCAGGGGGGTGTGGAGACCCCTCATCCATTCCCGGAGTTAGGCAGAGCCCCCACCGCCAACACTAGTATACACTCTCTGTCTTCACATATCACCAGACAGACAGAGCCCCACAGCGACACCCCAAGGCACGGTCCCCAGCGTCCTCTGAACACTCACAAGCCACAGGAACACGGTGGCGGGGAGGTAGCCACATTCTGAGGACTTGGTTAATGAAGCATGTGGACTAGCCCGGGGAGTCCCCACAGAGGCCCCTCCTCCCCGGGTGATGCTTGAGCACTGACCTCACCCTCTGACCTCGCTCACACCCTTGACACTCCCCTGGTCCCCACTGCGGACAGAGGTATAGATTCCCTGGGTGGGGGGCGGGGGTCACACAGGTACACAGGTGAATAAAAACCAGGCCCAGGTGTGAGGAGTCTAATGTTAGGAAAGTGGGCATCAGCCTTCCCTCCACCCATCCTGGGGGCATTTGTAATATGTGGGCTGTTAGGGGTTGTTGCCACGACTGCTAGAGTATTAAAGAACTCTTTTGTCCCCAGATGTTAAATCTCCGACCCTCCCTAAACCAATAGCCAGAGCCCATGCCTTCCGGAACCCGGTATGAGGAGAGACTCAAGTCCTGCCCCTGTGGAGAGACAGTGAGGGGTGAAGAGCCTCGTGGTGCAGACTGCAGAGGGCCAGGCCCCCAGGAGAGCGTCTGCGTGTTATAGACGGCGGCGGCCCCACACCGGGAAGGGCCCTCCGTGTTAATAGCGATGGTAGTAACCACAATGTCAGGACCAACAGCCACCACGAGCAGGACCACAGGACACAACACTCAGCTTGCGTCCACACCACCACATTAAGCCACACCAGTCTACCCACTCAGGCAACCGGGCAACCTCCGAGGGGCCCTGCCAGGCCAGGCCAGCTCCCGCCACCCACCGCAGGGGCCTTGCGAGCCAAGAAGGTAGTAGTCGCCAGGCAGGCAGCGAGAAGCCAAGCAAGCAGCTGGCCCCTCTCAGGTACCGCTCGCACTCTCTCTCTCTCTTCCTCTCTCTCTCTCTCTCCAACTCTGTGTCAAGCCCCTCTCTGACTCGCTCGCCCTCTGGGAACCAACCTGCAAGTACGTTCGTTTAACTCAAGCTGCCTCGCCTTGCAACGTGAGTCTGTGTTTTTGCAGGAACATTTACACGTCTGCGGATCTTGTACAAACAAATGCTTTCTCCGCTCTGAGCAAGGCCCACAGGGACTGCAAAAAGGCAAAAGGAAAGACATCTAAGCTAGAGCGTCAGCAGAGAGAGAGAAAAAAAAACCATGCAACACCCCCTAATGTGTGCAGCAGGGCCCCCACCCAGCTCGTGGGCCCCCACACCCTTCCACGCCCTGGAAGGATCCAAGTGCTACAGTGGAAGACAGAGAGCACGCGGAAAGAGGCAGCGCTGGTAGGAAGCCTGCCCGCAGAGAGAGGCAAACACAGACGGGCAGAGAGTGCAAGGAGAGGGCAATGCTGTCCACTGGACCAGTGCAAGCCCCAGGCCACAGGGTCCCCACTGCTACTGCCCCCAAAAGAGCACCTGGCTCTCCACCTGCTGGGGCGGCAATCGGGAGCCACCTTCTCCCTGTGCGAGGGCGCATGCCCAGGCCCCTCCACCAGAGGTGGGCTGAAATGGGGTGTGACACCCGGCTGAGCCCAGAGGCACTGTCCACAGAAGGGGACACTGGCAGCTGCCCCAGAGCATGGCCCACCACAGCCTCCAACACAGAGCAAGCAGCCGCCCTACTGAGAGGCCTCTGTGGGTGCCGTGGTCGGGCTGGAATAGGGGGACCTCCTCGAGGAGCTCCAAGTCCATGAGGGGGGGGGTGCCAGATGGTGCCTGACCTCACCCCACCTCCTTCTTCAGCCAACAACCAGCTGCTTCAGGTCATTCAAACCCATTCTTCACACCACCCTCCTCACCACCCTCAGCTTCCAGACAAACACAGAAGCCCAGAGCAGTGGAAACCAGTTGGGTGAGCAGGCACCAGTGCCCGGCACCCATGCCAACATGGGCCGGCCACCAGTGCCCAGTGGGTGAGAGAAAGGCAGTGCCCAGCCAAGCACAGGCCAGAGCCCCCTCCCTGATTCCTCCAAGCCCACTCTGCCCACCCACCCCCAACCTTGGACCAGCAACAACACCACGAAATCTACCCATTGGTGCCAATTAGTGGAGTGAGAATGAGAGAGTGAGACACTGGGACAGAGGGGAGGATAGGAGGCAGGAAGGGAGGGACAGAGGGAGGGGGGAGGGTTAAGGGGTCCTGCAAGCGGGAGTTAGATCAGGGGCCCTGGGGAGGCTCCAGGGAATGAGACAGTAGCGGCACCACGTACAAGTTCCAGGATTTATACCGGGATTTCTTGCGCTTTCTTTTTTGCCCCTTTCCCTTTCCTCGAACTGATTTTCTGGAAAATAAAAAAACAGAGCCAGAGAGGAGGGGGGGGAAGGGAGAGGAAGAGAAGCCGTGAGGAGGGCAGGGGACAGGACATGCTCAGGGGAGGGGGCAGGCAGCCTCCAAGGAAGAGCTTGCACGCATGTGCAGGTTGGGGCAGCAGCACTGGATGGCTCCTTTGCCCCGGACACGGCCTTGGGAGGAGGGCACAAGCCCCATAGGCCGCCATGCTCATGGTGGCTCCTGGCCCCAGGGAGGGGCACAGCACCCCGAGCAGGCCCTTGACCCTGTGTAAGTCTGGCCCTGATGGGCAGGAGGCTATAAAAGGTAGGCCAGGCTTTGGGGAGAAAGGTCAGAAACCTGATTTAATTGGGGGGGGGGGTGCCTGTGCTTCAGGCACCTTCTATCTTCATTTCCAAGTGCAATAGCAAAAGGGTCCCTCCAGAGGCCCTGCCTCTGAGAATGTGGGGGAGCAGCTCCACTGGGGGCTGGCACAAAACCAAGGACGGCACATAGAAGGCATCTGCCGGTCCGAGTCATAACCTGGACTGCTGAGGGGTGGGGCTGGGTGTCCTCAGAGCCCCAGGCAGGCTGGCAGGAGGGTGGGGTGGGAGTTAGGGAGGCGTGGGGAGGAGGGGCCTGGGCGCACTTGGCAGGGTGCACCTCCCCAGCCTGTCAAAGCCTGCTGCACCATCTCACCAGACTCCCTGCCGAGCCCAGGCGAGACCCCGCTCTCCCTGTGGGCAAAGCAGGCCTTTGGGGAAAGGGCAAGGGAGGCAGGCCGAAGCCTGTCCAGTCCAGGGAAACAGCGCTCTTCTCACATGCCAGACCCAAGAGAATGCCCCTCAGAATGTCCGCCACAGGGGAAGCAAGAGGGAGGGAGGCACTGAGGAAGGGGCAGGTCTGTCTCCTCTTGTTGGGAGAAATGCTGGAAGGAGGAAGGTCTTCGAGTGTGTGCACATGCATTCTCCCTCTTCCTCCTTCTCTCTCCCTCTCCTCTCTTCCTCCCTCTTCCCCCCCCCCCCTCTTCCACAGCAATTCTGGAAGTTGGGGACTTCAGGAAGAGACAAAGGGTTGAGGCCTAAGGACCTTCAATGTCCTCAGAAAATGAGCAGATAGGGTGGTGAGGGAGGGGAGGGAAGGACATAGGTGATCTCTCTCAGTCTCTTTTCCTGCAGACTCGTCCCCCAGGCCAGCTGCTCGCCGAGTCCTGAGGGCTCACTGCCCCCAGACCTTGCCCTGCTCCACCCCTGCTCCATCCTGACTTGACCCTCCACACTGAGCAATTGGAAGCCTCAGGAAATGACCGACATTCCATCAATTCTTTCTCCCTGACCAAGAGGGCTGGTGTCTCTGGCTGCTTCACTCCTGCAGGAGGGCATACGCCCCAAAACACGCCAGCCGGCCCCAAAGCCAACTGCACCACCACCGCAGCCACCGTAGAGGCTGTTTCCTCTGACGCACAGAAGCTGGCCTCCCTGCCACCGGCTCCCTCTCCCTGCGGTGGGTGATGGGAAGCTACAGCACCAGGGAGCCAGTGTCCACACTCCGCCTCGACACACCAAGACCACCAGTCCCGGCCAGGGATGACCTGGAGACCTGGGACTCGCCGGTTCTCCCAAAGGAAGCCCCCGGCTCCAGGCTGGGTTTCGTCCCTGCGTCTACAGCCATAATCCTGGAGTTTGCTCCACCCCATTGCGGCCACCACATGTCCTCATGAGACCAAGTCTTGACCCAGGGAAGTCATCAGGCCCCTGCCAGAGGAAGCCAAGAGCCCCAAACCGAGAAAACAGGCAAGGAGAAGGAGAACTGAAGTCATGGCCACTTACTTTTCTTGCCTTGCTCTCTCTTTCTTTGGTCTGCAGCGGTAGAGAAAGAGAAAAGAACAAAACAGAGAGGGGTTCAGATGGTGATGATATAACAACAATACTACTACTAATGAAAACTTAACATCGTGTTTACAATATAGCAATACAGTTTCCATCTCTTTAGAGGTAACTCACTTAATCCTTATAACAATGCTATGGGGGTACATACTATTATTGTACCCACTTTACAGATGTGGAAACTGAGGCACTGAAGTAAAGTTGAAATGCCCAAGGTTACACAGCTGGGAGGTGGACAAGCGGAACAGGCTTAACCCTGGCACAGAGCAGGCAGCCGTTTGCTGACTGCGCCCTCACCTGCATTCACATTTGCTGTGCTGTAGGAAGCTCATCTCTCCTATGTGCTGGACTTTGTGAATTCTGATCCGCATAATCTAGAGGAGAAGGAAGCACATCACAGAGGTTAGTGACCCAGCCAGCCAGACCCAGATGGGACACCCCTGTGGCTCCTGCCACTCAGCACCCAGGGGTTCTACAGAGCAGTGATGGGTGGTGGAGTTAGGGGGACCGGGGGCTCTATGAGAAAGAGCCTCAGGCCCACCCCAACTCCCCCAACCCTGCTGACCTCAAGGAGCCCCTGCTCCTCTTGAGGCAGACACAGCTGCACGGGTTGGCCAGGCTGGGAATTCAGATCCTAAGTTCTCACCACACCCCATCCCTCCCCTCCTTTCATCCCTTTAGGCCTCACCCTGAGAGCCCCCACCTTGGGGTCTCAGAGCGCCCTCCCTCCCACCCTGTCCAGGCTGAAATGGACCCCATCACCAGACAGCATCAAACCACTGGCTTAGAAACGCTCCACAAACCACACTCATCCAGCTTCCCAAACAGAGCCCCCGAGAGGGAGGGAGGGCGAGACAGGCTCCTGTCACAGGTATCACCCTCCTCCTGAACCCAGGGGCAAAGGTCAGGGAGAAGGAGGAGGCGGTGGGGGCTTGCTGGGAACCTGGACTGGGAAGTACAGGCTTCTTTTTCCCCAAAGAGGCAAGACCTGCCACACCCCCCCGCCCGACTCAGGGGCAGGAGCTGGACAAGGCAGGTCTGGCTCCTCCTCTCAAGTGCCCTCCTGCCCCTCCTCCTCACAGGGACGCACCTGCATGGTGATGTTGTACTCCTCGGTGGGCACGCACTCCAGGCCCTCGTCGTTGCAGCAGCCCCCGCACCGCATCAGGGGCACACAGGACGGCTTGAAGATGTACTCGATCTCATCAGGGTACTCCTGGAAGATGTCCACCAGGGTCTCGATTGGACGGCAGTAGCTGCGCTGGTAGACATCCATGAACTTCACCACTGCACGGGAGGGGGTGACACATGAGCCCAGCAGGTCACACAAAAGATGGCCAACCCCTATCTCCGCCCCGCTCCACAAGGCCACTCCTCCGGGTTTCTGTGAGAGGTGCCCACTATCGGGCGCGTCCTCTCATACATCGAACTTAAGTCCCTCCAGCTGTGGTTGAAGTCCTTCCCTTAGCTTTCTATCAACACGGCTGAAGACCTGTTTTTATGCCAAAGATCGCAGGATGCTGTCGGTTTCTGCGGGAGACGGCCCGCCGCATCTCACCCCCCTGCCTCAGCACGACAGCCAAGCCAATTCCTGGATCAGCCCTGATGCCAGAGGACAGTCTGAGTAGGAGTATAGCTGTTGGGGGTGCTCTAAGCATCCCCTAGAAAAAGGAACAGCCAGCTTGGCCATCCTACTCCCCATGGACGTACAACCTCTCCATAGCCACTGCCATACCCTACCAACCTACCAATACCATTTAATGAGCATTTACTATATGCCGGGCCCTGTGTACAGTACTCTACAGCTGACATCTCAAACAATTCTCTACTATGAGGTTCTAGGACCTCCAGAGGCTCGGAGGCGGAGTAACTTGCCCCAAGGCCACACTGCTAGTAAAGCGGTAGAGTTAAAATCAGCCTGGGCATCAGAGCCCTTCCTTAGCTTTCCTCTGCCATGAGAAAACAGAGGGGAAGCTTCAGGGGGTACCTTGCCGCCTGCCAGACCCCCCCCCCAGAGGTAGGCTGAGGAGGCAGTGGGCATAGCACAGGACTGGGGCTGCCTGGAATCAGCAGGTGGCAGTGGGCGGGCACACTGGGCAGGCCCTGCCAGCCACCGATAACCCCACCCAAGAGGGCAAACTGCTTGCATCATGGAAAAAACGGTGTTGCCACTGCAGCCACAGAGCACTTCTAGAAGTTGATCCGGAGGGAGAGCATGGCAAAGACGGCTTCCCAGGCTGGAGGCGGGGCCTGAGGTGCATCGGTGCATGAAGGGGTAATTCTGGGCCACAGGGGCGGGCCCTTGAGAATAAATAAACTCAGGACTCTGGAATGACTACTCCAAACTGTGGCCCAGCCTGCCACTCCCTATCACACACCCCCACCTCCACATAGCAATTCTGTCCCTGGAATGAGTTTCCCCTGCACAGGAGGGAAGAGCAGCACCCAGCCAGCAAGGAGGCAGGGCTCCGGCCGTGACTTGGTGTGACCGCGGGCCAGTCCCTCCTCTCTGCACATCTGTGCAAGCGGCTCGGGCTGATCTCTAAAGACACGGAAACAAAGGCTGAAATGTGGAGTTTCTGTCTACCCTTTCCAGCCCCAAAACAAGCTCCCTTTTCCCAGCCCAGGTAACACAAGGTCTGGAACCTCAGCGAGGCCTCCTCCCCCTCCTCCCTCCAGGGGAACGAAGGCAGAGGAGCCAGAGGGCTGTGCGTGTCCTAAGCGGGTTGAGGAGAATTTGGAGAGTTGAGGGAAAGTAAGTAGGGGCGGAAGCCACCGATGTGAAAACAGAAAGAACAGTGGGGACCCCCCAAGCCCGTCCCAGGCCTTGCCTACCACCTCTACGTTCTCTATCCAGGCAACGGCCACAAAATTCTTCTCGACCCCCAAAAAGGGTTAAGGTAAAGTGTCTTCAAAAAGAGCATAAAAACAAGACTAGGGATCTGAAGAAGTCCTTTTCTAAGCCGAGTCTATATTGAAGTAGATGACTAATCAAGACCTGACACTTTGTCATGGTTGGGGACAGAGGTGGCCCAGGCCTCAGGGCCACAGGTTCCACCCAGGACAGGAGAGTAGAAAAGTCTGGCCTGGGCCATGGTGGCTGGTAGCTGAGGGTAAAAAAACTCTGGGTGAGAATTCCTTGGAAAAGCTCCCCGGATTCCCCAGGGTGGCAGGCAGAAGGGGAACACTTCACCAGCACCCTAGTCACTGCCTCCAAAGAAAGCTGTCCTGCTTTGGCACAGGGCGTGGACACACAGACACTCCAACATCAGGCTTCCGTTGTTTTCCTTATTTCTCGAAGACAACCTTTTCCCCAACAAAGACCGTTTGTCTTGCCTCTCCCCGGCCACTGAGACCACTGGGAGGCTCAGGGGGTAGGGACACGGGGAGCGGGTGGCCTGTCAGTGGTACAGGCTTGGAGTGGCCAGGAAGCCAGGCCCTGGGCCAAGGAAAGGGTTCCCAGGCCAGGAAGGAGGCAGAACCGGCTGGGCATCACCACCAGTGGGGAGTGCAAACATCGCCCTTGGCCACTACCCTGGGCCTACTTGATTAAGGTCAGGGAAAAGCGCCTAGAGGAAGACCTCAGAGCTGGGGAGCTGGGGGAAGTAGCACTGGGCACTCCGCCCCCAGGCTTGCGCAGAGGCCACATGCAGTGGGGGGGAGAGCCTGGACATCCCTAGAGACATGGAGGCTCCCTATACCAAACCTCAGCGAACAAAAGGCAGGCCAGGCCGACTGGGCTTGGGCAGGGGGTGGGGCGGGCGCCTTGGAGCGACAGCCAGCCCCCTGCTGGCCCAGCCGGGAAGTTCACAGCACCCAAACCTCCTCCACCTGGAGGGCAGAGGGAGGCCTTAGGGCTTTCTCTCTCCACCCCCAAAGGAATACAAACTGGGGGATGGGGTCCCCTGAGGCTGGGTCTCCACACCCTTAGCTCATGCACAGCCAGCTCTCTGGATGGCAAGGGCCACAGCCCCTGCACACAGGCCCCACAGGTGAGACATGCTGGGTTGAAGTGACGGAGTATCCATCCTCCCTTGGAGGAGGAAGGGGGGGGGGGGGGCCGGCGACAAACAGACTTCTGGGATCCTTGAACATTGTTTGTTCTCCTGGTCCAGACTCATAGCTCCCTCTCCAAAGAAAACTTTACTGGAAAGAGCTGACGAAAAAGGCCACAAGTCCTATCCCTAGTAGAGGCCTGCATAGGGAAGAGCCAGTCCTCCGGAATGAAGGGTTAATCTTACCCTTTCCCAATCTCCACCTCAGACCAAAACAGAAGAAAGAGGGCCTCCCTCCCCAACCCTTGGGGAGTTAAGGGGTCCCATCCAGGAGCCAGGAGGACTCACCTTGGTGGGCTTTCTGCTCTCCTTCTGCCATAGGCGCAGCCTGGGACCACTGAGGACAAAACAAAAGAGTGAGACATGGGCATGGGCAGGGGGACCGCCACTCTGCCCCTCCTTCCTCCTCCCTGCCCTCCCAGCCCACAGCCCCTGGCTTCTCCAAGGCTTCTGAGTAGAACTGGGCACCACCAGGGGCTCCCTACAGCCAGAGCCCACCCAGCACCCCCAGACTGCTCCAATTTTGAAGCCAAAGAAGATCAAGACTGACCAGACATTGGAGGTGGGAAGCTCAAAATGCAGTAGGAAAACAGCAGAATATCCAGGTCCCTTCTCCACAATTCTCTCTCCCCATTCTCACTGGCCCATTGCTGAGCTAAGGGAAGCGAATCTTCTCACCACCCCCCAACCCCCCCACTCCCTGGTCCAAAGCCACAGGTAAGTATTGAGGTCAAACAGGACAAATTTGGACTGGGGCAGGAAGGAAGGACTGGGGGCGAGGAAAACAACATGGTGACCTTCTCCTGCTGACATGACAAATACCAGGGTGAGCTGATGCTGGGAAGGGAGGGGGTGCAGAGGCCTGAAGGGCACCAACCACCCTCCCCCATCCAGGCTCTTAAGTCTTCGGGAACATTCAGCAAACCCACAGGTTGCCTGGAGGGTAAAACCTGGGAGGAAGGCCTGAGGGAGGGCAGAGCTCATGGCTCCCCGTGCACAAGTCTCACCAGGGCCTGAATGTGTCTCCAACATCTTCAGCTTCACACTCCTAGCTTGTTCCCTGGTTTCTCCTCCCTCCCAGACTGAGGGGGTCCCCAAGTCCCTCTCACCTGGGCACCTTCCTCAAATGCAACCAGGGAAGTCTTCTATGCCTTAGCAATGCCCAGCCCCTAGGGGGCCCCCTGCACTACCTAGGCCTGAGGCCTCCCCCCATCCCTCCCCACCCCCACCAGATCATTCCTCCCCTCCCCAGAAGCTGTGAAGGTCAACAAGTCCAACCATGTGAACCTGACAGCACTGGGCAAAGGCTTCTCCCAGCCCTTCCAGAGGGTCTCGGGTTCTCACCAACTGCCCACCCCATCTGCCCCTCTTTCCCGGCAGATCCTGAACAGCAGAGCCGCCCCCTAGCCCACAGAACTGCAGACCCACTGAGATGAGAGTCTCAGCCTGTCTGGCTCTCTCTCCTTCCCACCCACCCCCAATGCACCCCAGTTCCCCTAGCCTTGCCCCCAGGACCAAGGTCAGATAACAGTTTCCAGACTCCCAGCTGGATAGCCTCCAACTGCAGCTCCCTCAGGGCCCCCCCAGAGTCTCCACCTCAGCCCCTCACCCATCCCCAGGACACCCCCTGGCTTCCCTCTGCCAACATTCTCTCTATGGCCTCCACTCCTCCTGGGCCCCAACTAGGAAGGGGACAGAAACTTCATACCCCCTGCAAGGCCTGGGGGCACAGGGAGGAGCAGTCCTGCGCGGGGAGGGGCCAGGTGCCCTTCTCTGGGGGCCTCTGAAGGTCACGCTATGGCCAGTCCGCCACTCCTCCCCTCCCCTCCCTACTTGGAGGCCTGGAGCCAAGGCCTTTGTGCCAGGGTCTGAGGAACTCTGGTGGCAGCAGGGACCCCAGCCCGTTTCCTTCCTTCGGCCTCTCTGCTAGGGGGAGGTCTCAGGGAGGGGTGGGAAAATGGCCCCTTAGGTGGCTTGGAGAATCAAGTTGGGTGGGCAAGTCTGAAGTTCCAAAAAACCACCTGCTCCTGCTCCAGTGGCTCATTTCACTGGGACAAAGTGTGTTTGCAAGGCTGGCAGGAGTTCTTCCCAAGGCTGCCTACATCACAGCAAATTTCAAACCCTTTTTCCAAAAAGTGTAAAGTGGGGGGCTGACACTCTTTAAACCCTCCCACGGCCCACCCCATAAGAGCTACAGCGCATCCCACTTGGAAGTGTGGGGGAAGGGAGGGAGGCTGCCTGTCACCGAGCGGTAGCCCTGGACAAAGCCCCCGGGGGGCCCTGGCACCCTGACCCCTGACAGAGACCCCCCTCTCCCCGGACTCGGGGGCTGAGAGAGGCTGGGTGGGTCTTCTCGTTAGAGGGGAGTGAAAACTAAAGGGACGGGCAGGGGTTCTCTCCACGCCGGGGAGGAAATGGGGAAGGGGCGTCAGGCAATCCCTCCCAGCACAGGAAGAGGTTAGGGGCGGAGGCGGCCGGAAGGGACAGGGTGGTTCTCCGGGTGCTCCCGCTGGGCTACCTCGAGAGGTCACCTTCCCGCGGAGGGCCGGCGGGGGGAGGGGCGCCGCTCGCCACCCGG